CTTCTAGTTATTACCTTATAATGTATAGTTCTTATGTCTTACAAGCTTCAGTTATTATATCTAATAATGTATATTTCTTATATCTTACAAGCTTCAGTTATTATATCTAATAATGTATATTTCTTATATCTTACAAGCTTCAGTTATTATATCTAATAATGTATATTTCTTATATCTTACAAGCTTCAGTTATTATATCTAATAATGTATATTTCTTATATCTTAGAAGCTTCAGTTATTATATCTAATAATGTATATTTCTTATATCTTACAAGCTTCAGATATTATTCCCTATAATGTATACTTCTTATATCTTACAAGCTTCAGTTATTATATCTAATAATGTATATTTCTTATATCTTACAAGCTTCAGTTATTATATCTAATAATGTATATTTCTTATATCTTACAAGCTTCAGATATTATTCCCTATAATGTATACTTCTTATATCTTAAAGGCTTCAGTTATTACATCTTATAAAAAAAAAATAGTTCTTATATCTTACAAACTATAATTCTTATATCTTATAACCTTCTTACATTTTATAAAGTATAGTTCTTATATCTTACAACTTTACTGCAAGTAATCATATCTTACAAACCAATATATCTTATAAAGTATAGTTCTTATATCTTCACATTTAAGTAATTATATCTTACAAAATATAGTTCTTATATCTTACAATTTGTAAGTAAACCAATACATCTTATGAATTATAGTTTTTAATCTCATATTTTCACATATAGTTCTTATATCTCATATCTTCACATATATAGTTCTTATATCTTACAGCCTCTAGTGATTATATCTTAGAAACTTTTAGTTCTTACATGTTACAACCTCTGATTATTATATCTTGTTAACCATAGAGTTAGTATCCCACAATCACTAGTTTAAATGTTTTTCAATCTTAAGTAGTTATATGTTATAAACCATAAAGTTCTAATATCTCATTACTTCAAGTTAATCATATCTTCTCCATACACAATACAAATCCCCAAAAAATTTCGACCCAAAATTGTCAAATGGAAATAGTAACTTTAGCC